TCCATGCTGATGACCGATGGATCTAGCCGAAGGATCAATGATGTGTTAAGCACGACGAAACACGAGTGGTGTTATACGGCTTGTTTCTCGCAGACCATCGGATGTCCGACGACTGCTGGACGCTGATGTGAAAAGTGGAAAGATTGTTGCGGTTCCAGCGGAGTTACTTCGAATATCCTCGTCTGAATTGAAGTTGGGCCAGGTGTCCAACCGTCGCGGAAATCGGGGGGGGGGAAGGGAGCTCCGAGAAACAAGGAGCGACGTCTGAGGAGGTTTCCTCAGCTGCGGAAGACTCACCCTGTAACTTTTAACGACGGTGTCGTTATCAGTGCGTTATCATTGCGCGCGACTTTTCGCTGTTGTGATACCAGCGCAACGATAACGACACCGTCGTTAAAAGTTACAGATAGGGTTTACTGATTTCATTCGTGTTCAACTGTTCTTCCCGACTGATCCAAGGGAGTCCACTTACGTCGCTGTATATCGTGCGGCAGTTTTACGATAATATATTTATGTCGGGTGCATTATATCGATGAGTAAAAAGCTAGTTTGGAGAATCGATTGGAGGAAACTCGATGTCGAGGTAGACAGGACTTAGAGCGGTATATATACATATATATATATATATATATATATACATAGCCGGGTCTAATATTTAAAGTCTTCTCTCAGGAGGACTATGGACTGCGCCACGAAGCGTCTGAAGCCAGCGCGATTTTGATCACAGGTTATGTAGAATAATAACCCTCCTCGTATCAAAGAGAAAGAAAAGAAAGCTCGTACTTGCTGTCTAATAAAATATTGAGAATCGAGTACAACGAGCACACGGGTGCATCACCGCCATGTACTATTTTCGATGATAGATCCCTCTCTCCTAGCTGAACCAGGTTGCCTCTAGAGCGAAACAAGCGCTCAACTCGAAAACGAAGGGAGAAGGTCCAAGCACCCCACTGCGGTATTGGTTCAGCTGCGAGGAACTGGCCTCATCACTAGAGTTTCCAATCCCAGGACCCCGGCCAAATTTTTGGTCCCGAAAGTATTCGGGATTCAACATCACAAATCCCGGGATTTCGGGATTTCAAAATTTAATGCTTAGTGTCTATATGATACTTACGTTTTGCAAAAATTTTACTTTAATAATTATTACTGATGTTTTAGAGCATTTGCTAGAGAAGTGTGTATTTATATTTTAAATTTAATTCCATGTATTATTTTTATTTGTTTTAAATATTAAGGGAGTTTTCTATTTTAAATTTCGCGGATAAACTGGCGCAACACAGACTCGAATCCGGGATCCTCGATCAGATATTCTTTAACAAAATTTATGTTTTATTATTTTTTAAGTCACCTTTTCAGATGTGAAAAAGAAGAAATAATTATTTTTATTTTTATTACAAAAACTTTAATTTTTAATTGTAACGGTTTTTGCGCAATCATTAATGTAAGTTGCTTTCATTTTTACTGAAATTTTATTTTTTGTTTGTCATAATGTTCATAAAAGTCTATGAACGTTCTATAAATAAAATAATTTTATTATTTGTAAATATTCCTTGTTTCTTTCTTTACATATATATATAATCCCGGGATCCCGGGATGGAATCCAAAATATTCCCGAAATCCCGGGATCCTAAATTGTATCCGAGATTGGAAACTCTACTTATCACCCGTCGACTACTAATAACTCGACGGCGCACGTGGCGCGCGACTTTCCGGCCACTCTGTAGAGACGGGAGAGAAACACAGTAGTGTGACACACGCGGTTTCGCGCGCGCGCGTGCGATTCAATAAGTGGTGGCAGCAAAGGGGATCATTGACATCGGCGCCGGTGCCGATGCGATGCGGTGCGGTGCGGTGCGGTGCGGTGCGGTGCGGTGCGGTGCGGCGCGGTGTCGGTGCCGCGTGGTTGCGAGAAGGTTGTACTACGTTGTGTTTACGGTTTAATTCGAGATATACTCGAAATGTCATATGTGTACACGTTCCTCTCTCTCTCTCTCTCTCTCTCTCTCACACATACACGCGGGCACAAGTGCAGCGGGAGGAGTCAGAGGACGAGCCGGGAGCGAGTGGAAGGGTACAAAGATCGACGTGCCGTCGCAGTCGGAGTCGGAGAATGAGTCACCGCTGTTACGTACGACTAACCTCACCCCTATCCTCCCGTCGTCCCCCTCTGCTGCCCCGCCGCGGCCGACCGACGGTATCGTTCGCGTTTCTATCAACTGGGTCACCACTGCCTCCTTCCTCCCCACCCCCTCCACCGCCTCCCGCCGCGCCCCGACCGGCGCTGCTGCTCTCGCCGCTCCCACCCGCTGCTCTCGCCCTCTCTCGCTCTGATTTATGGATATTCCACGCGAGCGTTATCTCCGTCTCAAACTCGCTACATTTCCTCAGATCGCCGACTTTTCAAACTTTTGTACGCGTGTCTGTGCGTGCCCGAAAAGATGAGAGGCGCATATACGACGCATGTCGAGGAGACGGGATGCGTCGTCTGCTTTATTTTGACGTCCGTCTGGGTATCTTGAGAGAAGAGAGAGAGAGAGAGGGACACAACGGTTTCGTCTTGTCACATTGTGTCGTTAATTCTCCGTGACTCGCCGAGTAGCAGAGCCGACTTTTTCTCTCTCCTTCTTTCCCTCGGCCTTCCGCAGCAACAGAGAGAGAGAGAGAGAGAGAGAGAGAGAGAGGGAGAGAGAGAGAGAGAGAGAGCGAGCGTCTGGCTTGACGATCCTGTGAACTCGAGCTCGAGCGTGCCGAGCAGCGAAAAACCGAGGGCTCCGAGGCCTCGACGACGGCAATTCCGCCGAAGCCGTCGAGAGAATTTCGACCGTTAGTAACTCTGACTTTTTCACCAATTCTCCTCGCTCAGACATTCCGGAGCTCGACAGAGTCCGTAGAGCATCATAGTAGTAGCCGAGGCAGAGTCCTTCGGGCGAATTCGAGCATGCAAAGCTCCGAGAAAGCGTCTGTCTCGCCGAGGAGCTTTTTTTCGGAAAAGGACGTCCATCCGTAACGTAGTATAGTATACCTAACCTGATCTAAGCCTAAGCAAGGAGCCCAACAGCGCGGCCTCGAAACGACGAAAGGACGGGCCCCTATCCTGTCCTGTATACTTTGTGTCAGCTCGGAATCCGAGGAAAAATGCACTACCTGGGGTGCATCTCCGGAACGGGCCGCGAGAGGTCGGTCTCGTCCGTATTTCTTCGTGCTTCGCGCTCGCTCACGTCCTACGCTCGCTCTACGCGGCGAGAACGCACGAACCAGGTCGTGCCGCTGAATCTGATGACGTAAGAGAATAAAAGCAGCACAAAGGCTGCTCTCGCTGGTTCATTAGCGCAGACTGTACGGCATCCCCCAGTCGGTGTTGGCCGCAATCTTCGTTCCTTTGCTCCGCCGTGCTCACGCCTGGGATCATCGTCATCGTGTCACTTAGGCCGCTTCTGCAAATTCAGGATTCGTCGCCGGCCGCTCGTCAAATCGGCCAGCCGCGATCGTTGAATTATTCACGACTCCAGCTCCTCGCGTCTTGTCCTTGCCGGCGACATCCTCGGGGAGGACGATCGACTCCTCCAATTCCGCGCGATCGTAAAGCGCTTTACGATTGCAAGTGGAGTTCGCTGGAGGCCCGAGGCTGGCGAAATGTTTTTGCATTCGCTGCCGAACGGGTTGCCGATTAAGATTTTCACGAAACTGAAACTCCCGAAGGAGAGAGAGAGAGAGAGAAAAAAAAAGAAGTTCCGCCTTTGTTCTCTCATCGTTGCTTTTCGCCTGTTATATTTTGCAAACACATTTGAATGGCAAATGATTACATTTGAATAATTTGTTTTTCTTTTTTTTTTGGTTTTCGAATGCCACGAGGCGCTTAGAGGTCTATTTTGGAAGATGTTTCGCCTCCTCCCCTCTGAAGTCACCGGGCGGAATTACACGTTTTAATAATATATGTCGCGACGCGCGAAGCTGCACCTGCCTTTTACCTGTGCCTGCGCAGCTGCTGCTTAGGTAAGCTTTGCAGAAGACATTTCTCGTCCCTGCGCCAGCACGCAGTGGCTTTTTCTTTTTTTTTTACGACGGGATAAGCTTGAAGTTATATCTGCGCGCTCGGCGGTCTGCTATTCGAAAGTCTCTCGATTTTTATGCGTCGCAGTGCGAGCGGAAATATACTCGGGAATTACTCCGCTTCGAATGTATATCTCCGCGCTGATCTGAGAACGCGCGTTCGAGCGTACTCGAAATGCAGGCACGTACGCACGCTGGTACGTGGTGGTAGTGATAGCCATGCATGTGCATCTTTGCATATTGTTCGAAAAGTCCGCGCGAGCTTTCTCGCAAGCTCGAGCGGCCAAGCTCCGCGGCCGATGGCGCGACGGAGTGTGGCTCGAGCCATCCGCGGAGTCACTCGCTGGAATCTCTCGAGGAGAGCTCGAGGAGAGCGAAGGTAGTCGCGAGTCGGCTATTCAAGGACTCAAACTTCCGTGACCGAAACGGCTGACGAGTTTGCGCGAGGAACGCGAGACGAGTGGCCGCGTTAGCGAACACGGACACGGGCTTGCATTTCTGACCCCTTCCCTATCTCGGACGGAGGATAGAGGAGGCTGCGGGAGCAGCGGCGGCGTGAGGAGCAAAAGAGGGGGCAAAAAACACCTGTTACGGACTTCCGCAAACACGAGGTGTTCTGTTTATTTTCGTACGACGACATTAGAATCACAATGCCTGTTCATTGTCACGTCAAGCGAAGCGTCCCGCTCTGCCTTACCGGTCGCCGTCCGCTCGCGTGAGATGGCGCCACCTGCCGAACTCGACCACGATTCTGCCTATATATATATATATCGGCTTCATTTCCCAACCTTTTTGTTTCTTCGAGAGAAACGCGCGTGGCTCGGGAATGCCCCTTCGACCTTGCTTCGTTCCTTCTTCGCATCCTGGTAATGCAGAAATATGCGATATTCAGCGTGTACGGAGAAGAAGGCTCAAAGGCCGAGAGACGAGGAGATATTAATACACTACACTGTCATCGTTATTTTTATTACTTAGTATTTCTATCATATATTATCGAGGGATAGATTGTCTCTTTAATGAAAAGCTGAAAGGGAAGAAATTGTCTTACGCATCTTACGAAACGAGCCCCCTCCCTCCCCCCGTACGATCGTTGCGGCAGCTACGAGTGTGCTCTTCGAGAGCAGGGTGGATGTGTAAAGAAGAAACGAAACACGCATGTGTTGTTTGCGGCAATCTTAGACGATATATTACACATATCGAAGAAACCGGGTGTGCATCGCGGGCGCATTGCGCGCTCACACCGGGTCGCGTACACCGGGCGTCATCATATATGCCTTAAAATTATTACTATTACTCGCACACTAGGCGTCGCACTATGCCGTAACCATTGTTCACCACGGTTCTCCTTACGCTCTCGACCTTCAGCCGCGGACGCTCGATTGAAAATCACACACGCGCAAGCTGGACTCTAACTCTATAATGTTAAGGCACACACGACGCCTGGCGCACGTTACACCGAACACTGATAACGGTCGCTATTTGATTAATCATCTCCGTCTCGAGTTGGCCAACCTATCAAAAGGACAGATCTAGAAATCTGTTATACGTATTTAGAGTTTAGCGCAATTCGTGGTAGCTAGCACGTGTGTGTGTGGTTCTGTGTGTCAATTTCTCCAAACGACTTTAATGGCATTATAACGGTAGTATACAAAACATTTAAACCTAACGTACCTCACCGCTCGCTCTTACTTCTATTTACACGCGGTCCTTCTATCTCGATGTCTCACCTTCGTGTTCGTGTTGAAAAAGTCCCGCGTAACGAGAACGAATCGTGTACCATTTATCGGAAAGGGGATTAAAGGCGAGAAGAGAAAACCGGGGCAAACATTCATATACATTGTGAGAGAGTTAACCCTTAGATTGCGACCCTTAGTCTCGGAGAAGCGAGACTGCAGTGAAATATTCAACCGCCGCTGTTCGCGCAGCTAGTCGCCACGACGTCTCACTTCCTCAAGCATGGAAGCTGCGATTTTCCGACTCGTCTATTCGCACTCTAAGGGTTAATTACACGTGGCTAAAGACAAACAAGCGTGCGATCGTTTTTTAGCTGCACGCGCGCGCGCGCGCGCACACAATCAAACGGTTTGACTTTTACCGTGGTACAAGCGGGCTATGTACACCGACCGGACGAAAGGCTCTTGGCTCAATTGACTATTATTAATTATCCACAATAAGATATTTTCGATAAATATATATATATATACGCCGATAATCGAATAATCGACTGAAAATATTCAACGCATATACCGTACACGCACGTACGCACACATGCGTTCTTCCTAACTATACTATTGAGCGTCCATCCTCGTGATCTCTACCTTTTGCGCCGGACAAACTGTTGTACAGTTGATTCAACGTATTTATTTTCCTTTTCTGAATCTGAATCGTCTATGCCTCCTCGTCCGCTAATGTGGTACTGGTTACGATCTGGTTTTGATGGGTCCTAGGGAGACGACATAGTTGGGGACGCGTGGACGACGAAATACCCAAGACCCGCTGCTGTCGCTTTAGCCGTCTAGACTATATTCCGCGTCCAAAGACGAATGGGAAACGTTGACATCGTCTGAATGGCAATCGTAATGACAGCAATTTTCAATCACATAGTTGGCGAGTTCTTTTATACGTTCGTACGGCCTGGGATCCAATATCACTGTGTGCAGTTTCTCCATTCCACCTTCTTTCACCACCAACGCGCAATACTTGTTGGCTGAAAGCAAATTGGATCGAGTGTGATGAAATGGGAGGAAGCTAAAACAATGTTTGCGTGTACGTATGTGTACGTCGTATACTTACGATATACGTTGGTGAGATTAGCGAGAGCCCAAGCTGCCCAATGTTGACACTGGGGAGTGTGGTACACGTCCAACAAACGCAATAGAGGTAGGAATGAGCGGTAATTGATATTACGTTCTGCGGACGGGTCCCAACTTTCGATAGCGTATACCATGTACTTGAGAACCTCGCTGCGAGTCGGCTTCACTATTGTCCAAGCGTCGGCACCGTCAGACGCCATGTGTGCCAGTATACCAGCGGCGTTGTACGGAACCTACACGAAGCAGAAAGATATGCTTCGTCAGTATCCCATACGATAAGGCTGAAGAAGAAAACTGAGGCTTTGGGGCTTTAGTTAAGAAGAAATGAATACGAACCTCGATCCCGTCGCTGTTGCAACGTAGTAGGTTGGCAAACACGGTTACGTATTGCTCCTGCATAAGATGGATCCGGAGGTATTCGACCTCCGCCACGTTGCCGAGTAAACCCATCATGTTTCTTAACAATTCTTCTTTGTGTGGGTATTGCTGCGCGAGAGAATATTTTTAGTTAGACAGTGCACGAAGTTCGTGAGGAAGGCTACAAAAGGTACATACCTCTACGCACATGAGAAAGAGCGCCATGCCTTTCTCGTCCAAGAATCGCTGACAATTTACGGACGTTTCATCGGTCATGTTCCACATGGTCGACCATGCGACTTCCAATACATCGTCAAATATACCGGCCTGCACCCTATACTCGACCAATTCTAACATGGTCTTAACACAACCCAGCTTGCCCAATAGTCTTTTCTCTCTGCCTTCCACTTGACAGGCCAGAGAATTCAACAGATATATGCCGATTCTCTGAACGAAGCTCTCCGGTTCCGAATGCTTGGCTGAATGTAGCAGCACCTTGACGAGCGCTTCGTAATTCGACATCTAAAAGAAGTGTAAGATAATTATTTCATTAACAGGAGAAACAGTCGGTCTTATCGTCGGTTTTCTTTCTTTTTATTAATACGTTACGGCAAATGTTCCGGCAGATAACCGGTGATTTGAACGCGACTCTTTCTACGTGTGAACGTGCAATTTAATTGCAGGCAATAATATGTAATCAGTTTAATCGATCTAGTCGACGAGCGTTGCGAGTCACTCGTAGTATCGAATATTTCGTCGCGTGGCAATTTAAAAAAAAAAAAAACAAGAGAGAACCTAAAACACTCAAAGAGTAACACGAACCACATCTTGTGGTATGCGGAATTGACACAATGCCAAACAACCATTCCGCATCATAGTCTCCTCGTCTCGGTGCGCGCTCATACCAGCCAGAAGAGTACCGATAATCTGTCTTTTCATTCGTGCGACTAGTTCAACCCTCTCTTTCATTTTCACTATGTAAAATAACGTAGCGCTGCAACATCGAAAGACACGTGAAAAATTGTACAACGATTCTCGTAGCTGTGTCCATCTTGACGTTGTAGAACGATTTGCAAGTAACAGACCACAATACCTTCCCGATATTTGTATGTGCTTCTGAGCCGGATGCTTCTCCATCGCTTCCAAAACGGTACTCAATGCCTGATCCATTCTACGACAATTCTCGTACCTAAATACATGATACAGATCGCTCAGCACTTTTTGCAACAACTCCTGCTTATTGTCCATGCATACGTGAGCTGCAATTAATATCTGATCTTCGTTCGCATCACCCGCTACCTAAATTACGCAGTGTACACAATGAACATTAACAAGATTCAAAGATGACACACGCGTATGCACATTGGTATGTGGAACGGTCAGAGAGCTGGTAATTGATGCACGCGGGGAAAACTCACCACTTTCGCTGGTATGTCATGCCTTCTGCAAGCGCCGTAAGCGGTGCCATAGAGACCTAAGAATTGTAAGGGCTTGTGTATTCTAGACGCGAGCCCCGGTATGTCAGAAAGCTGACTGAGATTGGAGTCCTCGACATTCGTATCGCTGGGACGCTCGGCTACGCCTCTTCCCGCGAGATTGGTGCCGCCGATGTCTAAGGAGACCAGCTGCGGCAGACCATTTACCAAGTCGGACAAAGTTTTATTGGGATTGTCAAATTGTCCGTGCTTTGAAGTTGACTGCGAGATATCCAAGTGCCTGTATAGATCCAAGCGTATTACATTTTACATAACTGTACACGTAACACTAAAAATCATTTGTTTTGAATATCGCAGATGACTCAACATCGCGACGTACCTTAAACTCTTCAGCTGACAAATATTTTTGACAAAGGATTTTGAGCTGGTATTGACTTTGACATTGTACAAAGTTAAAGACACTAGGTTTGGTACCAGGTGATAAAATTCAAAAGTATCAATGTTAGAACTGTTTGATAAATCCAGATGCGTCAGGTTGCTTAGTCTCCCTAGAAGCAAGACATATTCCGGCAGAGGTATTCCCACATATCCTAGCGCCAAGCGCTTCAAGTTGGGAGTTTTAAAGACATATCCACGTTTGTAATAATCGATGGGTGAATCGGCTAGAACGAAACAGAATGCATAGTTTCACCCTCTTGTTAGATATTATTTCCTAATCCTGAAGTAGATTTGTACTTCAATTATGAGTGTGATCAGTTTTTCATGGCTGTTTTCGTGCAAATATTCACAAATCCTATGTGATTATAGAGGAAGTAATACTTAATGGAAAATCCTTTTACAATTTTCTTAGCTGAGTTATTAATAGCTATACTGAGAGATGCATGAGATTTATCAAACTAGCCAAGGATGACTAGCCTGAAAAGAAACTCACATCTGGATGCAAGTCTAGAATGAATAGTTGCAATTTATAATTAATAAAGACAACCATTGAATTAGCTTTGTTATGAGGCATGAGGGAATCCGTGAGGGATAGATGTCCTTTGTCATGGAGAAAATGATTATTAAAGACTATTTGACAGGCAGGAGTGTCTGTGTTAAAGTCTGTTCGTATTGAAAAATCCTGCAGTGGTCGCTGCTGATAAAGTTTTATGATAGCAGGCAAATGAGAATTGTCACTGAGAGCTCTTAACAAAGGAGATAGCTCTCTTGATGGTGAGAGGATAACTTTCGATTTAAGACTCGCCGGGCAAATGTCTATTCTGTGCAAGCATAAGCGAGAATAATATGCTTATTCTACAGAATAATCAAATGATTCACATGATTACAAAAGATACAGAACTTGGGATTTTTGGTTTCAAAAGTCCAAGAATCTGGAAAAAGTGAAGCTGAATAGACCGACAAGAGTGTTTGTAGCCAGTACCAGCTTTGATTTAATTCCTTGGTTAGCGAGTTACTAATAAAAAGGTGCGATGAAAGACAATCAATGTGTTGTTATGCCTTTTTGTACACTCATTTTTTTGTTTACCCACTATTGCCAAGCTGCCAAGTTACTGCTGCCAACAGCTTGTTGTAATTACAGATATTAGCGAGAACTCTTACCAGCATTCAAACTCGATGGTATCACCATTGAAGTGCCGTGAAACGCTAAGCTATGTAGATTCTCCGAATTGGCATTAATATGCTCGATCGAAAGTTCCGTTAGGTTACTACAATCTGTGAGTTCTAATTCGTAGAGCTTGTGACTGGCAAGCGTGTGGACCGAGTTGTTAGTCAAGCTGCAATTGGAGATTTTAACGTGTTTTAATCGGGTCGCCGTCAGGTTCTTGAAAATCGAGAAGAAACAATCGACGTCCTCGGTCGCCTCGCTGTGCTGCGCATATTCGATAATCTTGTCGCATATCTCGCTCGGGAAAGTCAGGCCTTTCCTCAGTATCCGGTGGCCACGTTTCCCCTTGACCGAGATTATATCGAGATTCTCGCAGATCAGGCTGAAGCAGAGATCGGTGAGCCGCTCCGGGCCTACATATTGATCCTTGTGAAACAAATCATCCAGATCCGCCATTCTCTTCGACGTGTTTATCGGATCACAGTCGAATTACGCATGAGAAAATGCGCGCTACGCTGCCCACTAGAATTACGCAATTCGCAGTGCGTCGTGTGAACACCTCGAGGAACACCGATCCGATATGTCAAACGGGCAGCATCAGCTGGGGACGCACGACATGGCGTGCGTCAGAAATTCGCCTATCGCGCACCAACTTCCACCAACGGCATTTAACCAACGACTTTTTAATCCGCACTCCGTCCGCGCTCCGCGTTAATACTGTCGACGGGCGTCCCGCAGCACTCGCGACCTCATCGTCGAAGCGCCTGACGCAGCAGGTGCATGCGTGCGACGCGTGTCGAAATAACTCGATTATTTTTTTTCGAACTACGCTTTTCCGAAGTACCCAACTACAGCTGTTACCGTTGTCACTCTGTCGTCATTACTACCACCACCATCGCCGTGGCCATCGCCACCACTACTACCACCACACCATCGCCGTCAGTTCCACCACTGCTAGCCGCGTGGTCGCTCGTCACCGCTGTCAACCGTCGACGGTCACTGTCACCGTTGCGTCTCGCTACTCTGCTGTGCTTCTTCTTCTTCCTCTTTCCACTTCTACTTCTTTTTTTACGCTTCACGCTGCGCGGATTGTCACCGTGCTATCTCGAGCAATTCAGCTATCGATTGTAGCGCGTGAGAAGTTGTTTGACGACTCGAACATTTTTGCCCGATGCATTTAGGAACACAACAAATTGCAAGATTGTGAGCCACTCGCGCGCGCCTGCGCAGTAATCAGTGGCTTTGTTCACGCGACGTGCTTGTATTTATGGCGTTGGATCCAGACTCGGGCTGTTGAACGACGTGAAAGTTACCGGGAATTACTGCAGACGTTAGTAATTTTGTAGTAATTCTCAGTAACTTTTCGAGGAACAATTCTATCGTATCATCATATATACAGGGTTTAAAATCAAAAATCGCCCGAGGAACTGTATAATTATAATGCATGCACGATACGTAATATATACAACAGGTAACACTGTTGCGAAATATATATAGTCATGAAATAGTCGATCGATATAACATTGAACATTATGCACATGGCGGTGTGACGTCACGAGAGCGGTTTTTTCCGAAAAACAGGGTATCACGTTGATTATCCTTTAGCCTTAGAAATTCTTTTCTGAAATATCTTTTCTGGGTTCGTGATTAGCAAATTAATGGACATTATTTCCTGTGTACTTTTCAGCCTCTATATTTCCCGCAATAGTCAAGGGAATCTTAGGAGGGGTGAAAAGAAGAGCGAACGCACGGACATGACATTTTATAAATAATTTAAAAGGCGCTGAGCGACAATGACACCGTTTCGCGGGCGATTGCGAAGTAAATGAGCCCGCGGCGGAAATTGATTAGGAAATATCGCAGTAACCAATCAGCGTCTCACATGCCGCATGTTTCGTAAATATTCGTCCCAGATGTTGGATGCGACCGATCTCGTAGTAATAAACATTTAAATGATATTTTTGTATCATTGGTAATTTATATCGTCGTGGCAATCGAAATAAGGATGGTACATATATACCTGTGTAATCTTCAGCGTAGCTAAAACAATTGGCACAATGGCCGTGTTCAGTAGAACAAAGTGAGCAGAGAGCGCTCAGTGATTATTGTCTGTGATTGGAGCATTCTTTTAGATTCTTCATAGACCCAGAAGTATTTACCAATCAGGAGCGAGATTCAGTGGAAAATGTAATAATGTCCAACTGTTGAGTCTGCTGAATACAGCCAATCACAGCTCTTGAATTACCGCTGGGCCTCTCGGGGCCCCTTTTGCCAGTACGAAAATTTACCTAGTCTTTAGCACCGACAAGATAATATAAATAATTGCCGTATTTGATTTCTGTTTGGGCTCTGGTACGCGAAATCCCGTAAGAACAGTATAGTATCTCGTCGGTGGTTTTACCTTGTCGGTTATGCGTGTTCTTTGAGACTTCTTTTTGGTTAGATTTCATTCTGATACACACAGATTTTATTACAAGAATAATAATCTTGGCACAATGGCTAGCAACAAACAGTAAGTAACTAAAATATTAAAAGTTATGTCATATTAAATCTATATAATTACATCATATTGATGTTTCAAATGTTCAGGTATGGTCTAATTTTGCCGAAGAAACAACAGAAAACAACACCAAAACTCAGTAATGTTTTTGGAGATGATAATGCTTCTGATGAGGACGACGGCAGCGATTGGGTTAGGAAGGCTCTTAGAGCAGAAGGTGAAAAAAACAAGATGAAGAAACAAACAAAACTCAATATACAGAAAGCACTGGATGAAGATCCAACAATTTATCAGTATGATGAAGTATACGATGCTATGGAACATACTAAAAGCAAAGTGGATTATATAGAAACCCAGGTACATTGAGAATCTCTTGAAAACAGCTGAACGAAGGAAAAAGGAGCAAGAACATAGAATAGAGAGAATGGTACAGAAAGAACGGGAAGCAGAAGGTGAGATGTATGCAGATAAGGAAAGTTTCGTCACATCTGCCTATAGAGCAAAGCTGGAAGAGAATTTAGACAAAATGAGCAGATTAGAAGCTATTGGTGATGTGACAAAGCAGCAAGATATGTCAGGATTTTACCGTCACTTATATGAACAGACTGTCAACTATCAGGATCAGAGCAATAATGATGAAACTTGTAAAAAAAAGGAGAAGGATATTGAATCTAGGGATCAAAAAATTTTAGCAAATAATAAAGATGAAGCAAGAGAAAATATAACAAATGAGGCAACAAATACAATCTAAAAGCATCCTCTGCAAGACATAAAAAGCCAAGGCAATATAGACAAAGGGCAATAGAGACATATGATTCTGATCTAGAAAGTGAAGCAAATAAAGAGGAGCAAGATCAACCTGTCACTCCACCAATGAACAAAGATACCGATAAATTAGAAATACAAGAACCAGAGAAAAAGAAACATAAACTTGGTAGGAATGATCTGGAAACAAATAAATGTACTACAGAACCAAAGAATAAAAACTCAGATGTGACAAATGATAAAATACCCCAGGAGAGTAAGAAAATTATTTCAGAGAATGAAAAAGTTGTAAGTGAAAGAAAAGTTGCTGATAAGGAGAATAGATCTATCTGGGAGAAAAGAACAGTCGGCTCAGTATTTGAAGCAGCATTACAAAGATATTATGCAAGGAAGGCAACTAGGCTGGCTGCGGTATAGTATTAAGTATAATTTATAAATATTTTATCATCAAAATCATATAATATACTGTTTTAATATTATTGAAATTATAGTTGATGAATACCATCTCTGAAAGTCTCTTAGATGATCAAACTGAAGTGAAATTATTCCAGTATCATATTTAAACAAATGTAATAATATTGACTGATTTGTTAATTCATGATACTTATATAAATTCTAGACTATTACTGTTCCATTTCCTTAATCTGCTGCAATTGTAAAGTTATATAAGATGGTTCTGTAATTTTCTACCGTTAAAAATGTACAATAAAATAATGAATTAAAATTATTTTATAATATTAGGAAAATATCAGATGTATTTAAAATGAATGTATATTGTACATGTATTCGGTGTTCAATGAACAGTTATATAATTTAAGTAAGTATTACACAACTGTAAAAAATATATAACTAGATAAATGATATTTTATTCTCTACTTAATTTTCATCTTCCATTTTTTCAACATTTCTATTCAAATTGAAACGGATCTTTAAAAGAACCACATGATAATTTAAATTACTCATTTGCATGCATTTACGGCACATTCACACACACGTATGTATGTACATTGATAACATCGTGAGTTATTTAAATATTAAAAATATAGCAGATATAAAATTTTCTCGTTTTAGAAATAAAAATAGATAAAATATAAAGGTGAACAAAATAACAGGATTAATTAAGAATCTTTAATAACATTTTGGAACAATATTTATGCGCATATTGCAATTTCATTCATATAAAAATTGAACAGAAAGAGCAAGTTTCTTTCTTTTAATAAAAAGATGTATTTTTAATATTCTAACTCAAACAATGCTTAATAACATCTTATGCAGGTTTTTATAGCTTATGGCAAGTTTGTCTTTAAAATAGTGATTTAAAGCACTTTCATTCATTACAATATGATCAAAATGTTCATTTTGTAAAACATATTCCATCAGCATTAATGTTACTTAAGGTATATGTATGTGTAGGGATATGAATCATGTGTGTATCATGTACACATATACATAGTATCAGGATTTTTTGATCAAACGTTTTGTTAGAGTATGTTTTACGACTATAAACAAGAAAAGTTATATAAACAGTTGTTTTTAAGCTTCATTAAAAAGAATTAAAAATATGGGATACAAAAAGTAAGATGATATAAATGAAATAATAGATTTGTTGTTAGAATGACACAAGATAATTATTTTTCTGTTACATTTTTGTTACATTTTAATAAAATTTCAAGAAATTTTTTACAATTTTCTTATAAATTTTCCTATAAATTTTTATTTATAAGAACGTGTACTAACGAAATTTCCTATCAAGTACCGTGTATATAATTCACTTGTTTATGTCCCAGTTTTTTTCAATTGGTATCATATTGCATCAAATTCAAGAAAAATGAAAACAAAAGTTTCCATCAGAACTCGAAGAGCAAAAGTTATACTGTAGGTAAAATGTTTAAAACCATGATGAAGACTTATCAGTATTTTTACAACATTTTTAGGTTTGTGTGTTAGTTGTTTCTTATCTTTACGTAAATATAAAATGATGTGTGTACTTTCCATGTACATGGTTTCATCTTGCATCTTTAGCTAGATGTTAGATTTTGTGGTATCATATGTCCTGTATCTCCTAAACAAAAGATTGTTACTCTCCCATTAGGAAAAATGCAGAGCCAAGTGATGCTTGCATGTTTCAAACATATTCGTAACCATGCTTCTGGTGGAAATTGTAGTGCTCTTAAAGAGAATACTTAGTTTTAATATATATATATATATATATATATATACATTATACACAGTGAAGAATTGTATACATGCAGAGAAATAAGGGTAAATTTAAATATAATCAGAAAAATGAGTCCTTACCGACAAACAAAGTATCTAATAACATTTGCGTGGCATACAAGAATAGTATAAGAATCATTTTCTTGACTAGGATCTGCGCGGTGAAAATATTTCCTAAATGCTGCTTCTATTCTGGGTCCATCCTGAAAAAACTGAAATAATGGATTATGTTATCAGGATATGTACTCAGGATTAGTTTAAAATTTTTTAATAATTCCAATAACATTATGTTTTACTATTACATTATATATTATGTTTTCAGGATATATATATTTTTTTCAGGAAGGCTTTCTATTTTAGAACAAAATGTTTCAAAAAGATTTTTGGTTTCATAGGAAACATAACATTATGGAAAAGATTTTTGGTCTTTTATCTTTCAAGATAGAGATTTTACTTACATGTTTTTCAGATCTCCAATGACCAATAGGTGGTTCTGGAGGTATAGGTGCACCTTCAATTAACATACTATCATCTTCAATTGGGACATTTACAAGGCTTTTTTCTATAATTGTGGAAGTTTCTAGAGCTCGTGTCATTGTAGACCTCACTATTAGTGAATAAGGCAAATTTAACTCTGCTAGTCTCTTTCCTGTTGCATCAGCTTGTTTTTTGCCTTTACAGTAACAGAGAGTGGATATATTCTTAAAAGCAGTATAAATCTGGTATATATTTATGTTATAATACATATCTTGCAAGAAAAATAGAGATATATCTTGGAATATAATTATCAAAGAAAATCATATATCCATCACAAAAGTAACAGTGAAAATATCTACTTGTATTTATCGATATAATTGTTGATTCTACAAAAATATAAACTGTGCAAAATTGTACCAAATTGTATGTCATACTTACCAAGATCAGTTAGCATTCGCTCAATGTCTGTCTTTCCATCTGTATGATACTGGCCATGGCGAATCAAAAGTATATGTCGTACAGCTTTTGCTCTTTTTGCTTCAAATTTCTCATTGTATTTATTTTCATCGTTTTCATCATTTATTTTCATCGGTTTGACTAAACTTTTTGGATCCCTCCTATAAGCATAATGCAACATAGCCTTTTTTATCAACATAAGTATAATAGTATTATCAAATATTATTTTAAAGATGAAATAAGTACAATAGAAAATGTTACATCCCTTAATGATAATTGACGGGAACATTTAATAAAAACTACCTGTCCCAATTATGATCCCACTTCACAGAGGGTGTAAAATTTGTAGTCCACGAATTGTGTACTAGCAGTGAATCCTTATTGCCGTATACATTGTAATAAAATAATACTGCACCACCTAATGCACCCAGTCCTACAGCTAACTTCTGATATCGCGAAATGACTGACATTTTATAAAAAAAAAAAAATTACGGCGACTAATAGTCAATCCGCATGAATATCGCCTTTTTTAAAACAAATTTATTTCAATCCTACAACCGATAAGACTGTAGGAGCGGGGCCTCGAAATTCTTATGCGGATCAGTGGTGAGCGGAGGCGAGAACTATCGATACTTTACCCCATTGATAGTTATCGATAGTTTACAATGCGACTATCGATAATTATCAGTAGTTTTCGATAGTTCTGCGATTTTTAAAAAAGGTTAATAAGAAAAAGGACTTTAAAGAAGATTAATAAGAAAAAGTACGCATTTATTTAACCTCGTTTTTTTATTAATTTGTTATAACTTACTAGATTTCAGTTAATACTAAAAAAATACAATAGAAGGTAAAATATCAAGAACTATAAAAATATTTTAATTGAGTAATTAACCCGTATTAGGTTTTATTAGCTCGTTAAAATATCAGGTTTAATAATCCCATAAACTTCTATTGGCTCGTTAAAATAACAGGTCTAATGAATACTCTTATCAGAGAGAAGAATGAGAGCGGCCACCGGCCGTATTTCGGGGGATACGGCTAGGCGCATTTTAGATACGCCATCTGACCAAAATGCGCCTAAACTACGTCCGCTAGGCCCACTTTCACGGTGATAAAAGTAAAATGTGCCTAGGTTCGTGTCCGTACTACTTCCATGCAATGGATAGTAGATTAGAAAAAGACAGACGACAGACAATCTTTCCGTCTTTGTCTCACTACTGAGCAGCGCGCGGCAGTAAATACGAGGCGAGGTAGCGGCGATCTTATCGCTAAGCGAACATCTCTCCGCTTTTCTTTCATCTTTCACGCTCCAGAGACATCAAAAGACGCGGTAGCGTCTCGTGTCAAGGGAACGTGCGAAGCGAGGAATTATTTTTCACGCACGCGAGGTAGCACATTAGAGACTAGACGAGCGTCGACATATTATCTGTTTCTTTCCCGCTCGTCTAGCTTATTGACTGCGTGAGCCGCGAGATTTTTCTCGCTACTCCTATACCTCGCTCTTTCTCTCTCTCTCTCTCGCTCGTTCTTTCTCTCTCTCGCGCACTTGCTCGCTCTTCCTCTCTTCTCGTGTTCTTACGGCTTGGTTAAATATATTAATTCCATGACAATATATATATATAAATAAATGACACATATATAATGTATATGTATATAAAGAATATTTAGTATTAATGCACAAATAAAGAAGAGAGAATTATAATGAGAGACAAAAAGTTAATAGAAATCCATTCTTAGCCAATATATACATCTTTTAAAAATGATTTGTTATTAAAGTATATGACAGAATAATTTATTTATGCTAATAAATTTAAATTAAAAATTAAATGAAATGTTATTTGTTTTGTAAAAGATATTCCATTGTTACATTTTTCTTTTCGTAGCAAAAATAAATTTAGTCTAGTAAAAGAAGAAATTAGTTTTATTATCATATTTCAATTACGACTTTATTATTTAATTTTACGAATAGATAACATGCATATTGTTGCTCAACGGAAACCGCGAGAAAATGGTGATCTCCGTCAAAAAATAAATGCAAACTTTTTAATAATATAATAATCTTTTTACGTAAGTGTTTGTTTTTATAGTATAACCTGTTGAATTTTATTAATTATTAATTCAGCATGTTATAGTATAAAAAATATATTTTAATATAAAAATTAATGTATTGTTAATATTAATAATAAAATAATATTAATTGTTTGCATTTGCAAGAAATATGGATAGAACAGGATAGGTTGCAATGATACATAGGAAGAAAAAAGATAGATGGATAAATAGATAGATAGATAGATATAGAGATAGATATAGATGGATAAATAGATAGACAGATAGATGGATAGATAGATAAATAGATAGATGGATAGATAGATATAGAGAAATAGATAGATAGATAGTTAGATAGTATAGAAAAAAAGATAAATAGAAATATAATTATCATTATTATTATTGTAAATTATATTTACAATAGATTAAATTTATTTTTGCTACGAAAAGAAAAATGTAACAATGGAATATCTTTTACAAAACAAATAACATTTCATTTAATTTTTAATTTAAATTTATTAGCATAAATAAATTATTCTGTCATATACTTTAATAACAAATCATTTTTAAAAGATGTATATATTGGCTAAGAGTGGATTTCTATTAACTTTTCGTCTCTCATTATAATTCTCTCTTCTTTATTTGTGCATTAATACTAAATATTCTTTATATACATATACACTATATATGTGTCATTTATTTATATATATATATTGTCATGGAATTAATATATTTAACCAAGCCGTAAAAACACGAGAAGAGAGGAAGAGCGAGCAAGTGCGCGAGAGAGAAAAAGAACGAGCGAGAGAGAGAGAGAAAGAGCGAGGTATAGGAGTAGCGAGAAAAATCTCGCGGCTCACGCAGTCAATAAGCTAGACGAGCGGGAAAGAAACAGATAATATGTCGACGCTCGTCTAGTCTCCCATGTGCTACCTCGCGTGCGTGAAAAATAATTCCTCGCTTCGCACGTTCCCTTGACACGAGACGCTACCGCGTCTTTTGATGTCTCTGGAGCGTGAAAGATGAAAGAAAAGCGGAGAGATGTTCGCTTAGCGATAAGATCGCCGCTACCTCGCCTCGTGTTTACTGCCGCGCGCTGCTCAGTAGTGAGACAAAGACGGAACGATTGTCTGTCGTCTGTCTTTTTCTAATCTACTATCCATTGCATGGAAGTAGTACGGACACGAACCTAGGCGCATTTTACTTTTATCACCGTGAAAGTGCGCCTAGCGGACGTAGTTTAGGCGCATTTTGGTCAGATGGCGTATCTAAAATGCGCCTAGCCGTATCCCCCGAAATACGGCCGGTGGCTGCTCTCATTCTTCTCTCTGATGCCAGACTATGCCCGGTGGTCTAAAAAGAGCGGGGGAGAGGGGGGGAGGAGCAGAAAAAATAAAAGTACGTATTAAATGTTAAATCTTCGAATATATATTGCCGTATCAAAGTCTCTTCTATAATAAACAATTTGACATGTATGGAGACGCATGATGTATCGTTGTCCGCGTCCCGTTCACTTCGTCTTGTTTTTTAATTCAGCATCCCGTCCGCTCCGGATATTCGCTCGTGGCACTGACAGTGGCCGTCGGTGAGCATTCGATCCGCTCGGAGGAGCACGTGTTATTCACGTAATTAACGTGACGAGACTCCGATTATAAATATCCCGCGAGTAGACGAAATATTTGAACTTTTTAAAAAGCATCAAAGAAAATCACGTTAATGTTGTCATGGGTAAAATCTCACCCCGGTATATATTTTCTTATTTTCGAAATAAAAAAAGCCAAACGAATGCAATTAAATGTTATTTATCATCATTGAATATTAAATGAAAAGTAGAAGAGTTATTGTCCGCAGCGGATAATCTCCCTGTATAAAATGTCGAACTGAAACATATTAAAAATATTATTATACATATTGACATTTTGAATACGTCTGAATTCTGCTTTCTGATCCGAAGAAAGGGAAAATAAAAAGTATTAGTTCCCATTAAATTTCACCGCGCTAAATGCGAGATGGCAGTAGTGAATGCTTCGCATTAACAAGGATTCAATTCGTTTCAAATATGCCTTGTATTCAATCGCAATCGATAATTTTTAAATGCGAACTTTCGTATTGAAAAATATTCACTTCTCCTAATCGTTTTCGGATTCAGAGGCATACAAGATTTTCACGTTCTATTCCCCGTCGCATTAAAAAGTATTCACTCGCGATCCAATCTGAGAGCAGAATTCACGACAAAATCTCGTGAATGCGAAACAATACTTTTAAATACGACATTTTATACAGGACTAATATTTAATAAGAGCGCGACTAAATTCGCATAGGATGAAATTCCATTCTTTAACGCTACCATGACCTTTAATTATTCTCTGAAAACGGCGTCACAACAACTTACACTCTGTACAATTAGTTGCTAACACATTTTCTAATCGTATACATTCCTCTTTAATTAACATAAAGCTAACAAATGTCCGATGCTTCGACAGAGTAATTTTCTTTATTTTCAGTAATCAATAAATAGAGTGCATCAATGTCGCGTACAGTTGAAAGGCCTCCTCCCATTCCCCTCGTCGTTCCGAAACCTTCGAGAAAACAAGAGACGCTCAAAGGCAAGTCTTTCTTGCTTCAACCGCCGCCGAGGCCCGCAATGTTTACATCGCGCCGATTGTGTTGATCAGCTCGCGAGCGACGACACTTTTTGCCCTTCGTATTATAATACTCGCGCACCTCATGTATTCGACCTCATTCCATCAGCAGCAGCCGTGCGCGACGCTCTCGTCACTTCCGTCTCGTGTAATTAAAAGAAATATATCTCGTCGGTCCTCGAGATACTCAATCGGCATCGCGTCGGCATCTCATTCATTAACTGCACGGTTGAATCGCGAGTATCAGCATTAGAAGCGTGAGCGAGTGAAATCCGGAGGACTTCAGCAGTCGAGAAGCAGAACGCCGGCAGCGATACGTCACGTTTCCAGGTATGTGGAATCATTTATTACGCGGGAGGTCTCCGATAACGAGAGCGTACGTTTGACGAATTTTCCGGGAATAAGAAGTCGGAATTTCGCGCTCGGCATTCACAATCCGTCATCATCCGACTAGTAATCATCACTTTATGAATTTGCAATTACTCTCGTCAATCTCTGTCTGTCTGTCTATTTATTGCGTTGTTGTATACAAAAGATATTGATCCAGACAGAGACGGATAACGGTCCATGGACGTGGATCTCGAATTCATCATGTTCTCAATCAAACATTCTGAATCATTCCCAATTCCTGTGTGAGAATATTGGTCTTGTGTAGAATATTCAACGTCATATCGCTTCTTAGACTGCGACCTTTTTTGTTTTCGGTCAGCGCTTCTTTCAAGTTTGTTTACTCTTGTTACGGGATCTGAATTTAAATGTCCATCCGTAAAAGAATATTTTCGAGAGCACACAACTGTTGTCTCCGCTTCTTATTGTCATTTTCTTTCGTCAGCTCCTTCAAGAGCTCCTATCTAGACATTCAATGTCAATAAAGAAAAAAAATCGTAGCGAATATTCTCCACTCATCCCG